CGGTGCACGAGAACAGCTCGTTACGAACTTTAATAATTAATTTAAAAACCATACGTGATAAAATATTCATCGATTTGAAGTATTATAAGTTAGTGCTTCTCAATTCCTCCTAGTCCACCTAATTATATTGGTACGATTCAATTCATAAGACATAAAAATTCTACAAAGGGAAATACTTCAAGTAAGTAATAAACTACACGAAGCTTGCTTGTATAAGTTTTAAAAGTTGTATAAGTTTTAAAAGTAAAAGTGTATAAGTTTTCTTTTTCAAAATTTATATATATGACGAAATCCTGAACAGAAATTTAATACAAACTTTTAAAAACAAACGACGCTCTTCAGCAGTGAAATCATTTTCCAGTATTTGCCAAAGCCATTTGATGACTCGATGATTATTGTGAAAACCTCCGTAATATTGCACATGCTTACGAAGATCGTGCAAGTCGATATCACTAAGCAAAAAGAAGGTTTATCATTCAGAACAACTTTCACTGTTGAAAAAGCTATCAAAAATATCAGTAAACGTCATGAATTACCCTCACAGCGATTTACGAAACATCCCCATTTTAAAGAAAGAAGCCTATTAGACGACGCTCTTCAGCATTTCTCAGTGTTTGCCAAAGTAATTTGATAACTAGATATTATTTCTAAGGTAAAATTATCACTTTTCTACTTCATAGCAAGCACTTACGTCGACTGCCCCGAAATCAAATACTGAAGTTCGTGCGGAGCAAACAAAGAAAGCCAATTGCCGTTCAGCACAGAGAGAAATCCTGACACAAAAGCGCGACATTGCTCTTTTGTTTGATTAAAAACGCGATACTGTGCCATTTTGTGAACATAGGCTATCCTACAAAAAAATTAAAAAGAGTATGAAAACAACGGAAGATAAATGCCAATATTCATAATTTGGAAGCCATATAGTTAAGGAATTATGATAACTTGGAAACGAATGTGACAAGCCAAATATTAGAAAGTCAATAAATTGAATAAATGTGCAATAACCCACTTATTCTCATTTGTAACATGCATTGCATGACCTCCTGGGACCAAATCAATGGTACGTACACATCCCAGTATATCTTCATCAATCGAAAAAGTTAATGATAAATCAGCAACATCCGAATCCGAATAATGTTTCACATAAGTAAGACTTTTGTAAAGATCCGGGTCCAGCTGTGATAACTCATCAAATGCACACAATTTACGACCCACTACAGTTGCTAACAATACGGGTGCAAGATGTACTTCAGTGACGATACCCTCAAATACAACCACTTTTACAAAACATAACTATAAAATTCAAATAGACAAGGCGTATTATTATTTTAAATACATAGTTATTGTTTAAATATAATATACAAAATCACTATTTTAAATTTATTTCTTGCTATACAAAAAGCAGACCTCATAAACAGCTTTAGCTAGCATACGACCAACAAACTGAAAAAGAGCCAGATGATTCTCATGCAGATCTGATGTGGGTGAAGGAAAAAGTTGCCGATTTGGTGAACACTGAAGACAAGAATTTTAATTTGAAGATAAAATCTTTAAAATATCAGGAATTACATAGGAAGTATAAATAGTGAAATATAACCTTAAAAAGATTGAGATCGGGATTGAAAACATGCTTCAACGTTAATTCCAAAAATTCTTTGAATACACCGTCCTGATCAATACCTGCTTCATCTAATCCCTGAAGAAATATGGATAATCATAAAATGTAAATGAATATTCTGGAAAAGTAGGGAGCAGAAAAGTATATTGCAATGACAAGGTTTCTAACAAACCTGCTGGTTAATGAACTTTACACGAATGGTTGATTTAAGTGCAGTGGGCGACAGCAATGACAGCTGACGATAACCATCATCAAGTAGTCTATTTCTTTCCACTGTTATCATCGTACTTGGAGCGCCTTCCATACTTTCTTTTTCTGATGCAACATATTTCCTAAAGCAAATAAAATTTATATGTAGAATTAATTTGTGGAGAGAACAAAAAAGTTTTTCCTGTTAATAAAACCCAAATATTCTGTGTGTTGAGTTTTGCGGTGATTGTTCAGCAATGAACTTCTGGAAGATATATTCATAATGCCAATTATTCGAACAATTCACACTTTTCAATATTTACTTAGTCTATTGATTGGGTTGTCAGTATTTTATTATCTACTACACTACTCATAGAACTTACTTCATTATAATTCACGAAATATTATGAAATGAAGTGCGTTTTCCAATGAATGGTTTTGAATTTAAAGTTGATTGTGCAAGGCAAGAATTGATATAAAATTGAAAGTAAAAAAACTATCATGCATACCTGAACAAAACTATTCGATCATATAAGGCTACTAAATGGCTCATGTGAGACATCAGAAAAAGAGCACGCTCAGTTTTCTTTTCGAATTCATTTATTATGACTGAACTTTTGACATCACTGAAAAGGAAAAAAAAACAGTTTTGCATTCAGAAAAATCTTACGACACAGATGAGTTTTTTCTGATAACAGTAGTTGTTATAACAAATACTTACGGCGCAATCCAGAATTTATGATCTTTTGAGAAAGCTCTTCGACAATCACGATTATATAATAGCATACAGAGCTGATAAATGGATGAAAATAATGGGCAAGATGAAATCTGCTGCAGGTCTGGAAAACACGCACAAAAGTTTAACAGGATTATCTATTAACTGGAAATCCGGGACAAATCACAGAAGAAATTCACAGCTATCGATAAATTTGAATACATAAAAATATACACCAACCAATATAAGAGTTCCAAATTACACGAAAACAAAACAAATTGCAAAATTTGGCAATAGCACACAACTGATCAAGAGTGAACGGACTACCCTGCTCATACATTTCTTCTTCGTCAAGGATCCTAAAATTAGGAATCAGATGACTGCGTGACAGATTTTATAATTTTTTTTTCCAAAAACTGAGAAATGAAAATAAAAGCATTATTAAATCTTCAGTGTTCTCTCGATGTTGCTGAGGTACTACCGCAAGCTAACATAATCATAATCCACTTCGCTCTAATGAATTGACCATGGGACAGTTTCTCAGATTAACATTGTACACATGAAATGACTACCAAAAATTACACAAAACATTTCTTTGACACTTTTATTTCATCAGAGAGAACGAAACTTACGAAACGACCGAAGCAGCACAATTAGCGAACAGGACGATTGGGGCAAAATGCGTAATTTTTGGTGGATGAGAAGCAACCAGTGCAATTATATGAGATATTCCATTGTCAGCTGGCGATAAGCTAACAATATGTTCCCATAAAAGTGGAAGAAGAAAGTCTTCGCGGCACAAACCTAAACTGCATCAACATATATTCTGGAAATTCTTTTTATTCATCAACTTATGCTAGACTATATATCTTTTGTGATAAATATGTTTGTCTCATCTTTATGTAAATTATTAGTAGATCCAATGAAACTTTTACCCGACAATATATCGGTATGCAATGAGTTTAACGTAAGTAAAGCATTTTGATAAAGCTGGCATACAACCGCAGTCATTGATAACGCCGGCAGCTGTTGAGCAATCTCATTTGTTTGGGCTTCTGCACGAATTATATTCAATTTTTTCCAGAGCTCTGAATAATTGGAATTTTTAAATTATACATAAGTCACATGCTTAAGTAACCATTCGATAAACTGAATCCAACATGATTTCACAAAGTAAAACATTACTTTGAATTGAAGTCGCAAGATCATTTTGCACAGCAACTGCTGATTGAGATGTACGATATGCCTGTTTTTCCGGATCACAGTGTAATAGCTGACCAAACAAACACGTCACTATTGGTTTTGACCACAGATAGTGCAACTGACGTACAACAAGAGGCAAAGAACCTTCCGTGCTGCAATCCGTTTCATTTATTCAGCTCTCGAAAATTAAATATTTTTTCATCATATAACTATCGAGCGAGCTCCCACCACCAAAAAGAAGTATGAAATTACACGGATTCATGAGAAATTCATTCATAAACTAAGTAAATCAATAACTCGAATTTTAAAACACCTGCGATCTAAGGGCTCCGAATACCATCCAAAGATAGGATGCCAATGGCTACGACTGCTTTTCTTCTTTGCAACGAGCCGATCACATCTTGTCAATAATTTGTTCATCACATCTGTCCAATCAATCAAATATTCCACTAAGCTCTGAAAATTATTAAATGGAAATAAACTATAAAACAATGTACAGAAAACTATTCTATTTTCCATATTGAACAACGCAACAAACTGATTCCATATTTTCTGATAATGATTTCTCCGCTTAATACCTCGTCTACTATTATAGATGTACTCGTTTATCACAATGAGCGCATTACTTAAATCTTCAACTAGTAAATACCATACTGAAATAAGATGGAAAATAAGACTTAGCGCCATCAACAGTAACTATTAAGAAACAATAACCAACAACCGTCCACTGGAGAATAATATTGATTATCAAGATTATAACGACTATCAAAAGGAAAACATACATGCTGGTCAAGATAGCTCAAATGGATTAGATTGGCAAGCAGAAATAAACTTCTGTTACCACTCAGATTATTCGGTAGGTCTAGATTCGTCGTTAGAACAGCTATGGCTTTCTCAAACATTTTATTCTCCACCAGTAAATCAATGTTCTGTAAGAACTTTTTTGAATCATTTTTAAAAGAATTTAAAAACAGACAGATACCTAGAGTATGTTTCAAATAAAGCGAACGTACAGCTGCAGATAGGTGAGTAAGCAAAGCCGGGGAAGTAAGGCAGTATTCCACAAATAAACTGAACACATGAAAATCGAAATCACTGTTTTTCAGTATTCTGAAACTTCATTTAAATGAGATCTATTTTTCTCTTTATCAAGAGATAAGAAAGATGGGAAATAAGCGGTCCATAATAAAACATAGATTAAAATAGCATACTACCTGAACAATATATTGAACAGCCCGTTAAAGGCACTAGCACCAAGTGCAAGTCTTCCACTCGATGTTATTCTGCTTAGCAGTTGCTTAAAAGCAGTTTACGATTATTAGGGGAAAATCTAAGGTTTCACAAAGTTCCGTGACAATGATAAAAAATCTATAATCCAGATATTAATTTTTCCACAGCCGAACTGATTTTTAGAAAGATTCAGGTACCAAATTTTACGTATAAATCGTTGCACAAGCAGACAAATCCATCACACAAAAATTGGACGAACCGAAAATTGAATATATCGGAACCCTTCACCAACTGCTGTGATGAGAGCTTTATTACCTAACTGATTTAAAACGCAGCAGATTTCGGCATTATTTCGCACAAAAGCCCAACTATTAGCGCTTGAAAATGTGATTAAAAAATGGATAAACAGTGATATCGCCTTTCCTTCCGACACTTTTTCAACCTGAAATACATAATAAATTAAATAATTGAACTTTTTCCCTTTAAACCGCTTTCTTCAAATAACCTAGCAAATAACACCTACACATTACTTAAAACTAAAGAAAGGACTTGAAGGAAACGAACTACACGCAATTTAGAGTTTGAAAATTATATCAGAAGTGCTACTAATTACTAATTCTCCTTTAAAATAAAAAATTTTAATGGATGAAAGCGATGGAACAAGTAAAGATTTGTGTTCAAAACTTTCTCATGCAAATAAAACTGCGTTAATGTCATTTCTAACAGATAAAGGGATTTGCTGATATGATGCACTCCTGGCGATACGTAACATTAGAAATCCTGATCGAAAATTCTCAAACCTAACCTGAAGTTTATCAATGACCGAAGCGATTAATGAATATATAGAGATGATGAAACGATTCGCTGCTTGAAGATGGTTTTTGGACAGTAAAAGGGAAGCGAATGATTTCTTAACATTACATGACGACATGCTTAGTATCATACAACGACAGAGCTGACAAAGCCTCTAAAAATAAGCTTAATATGGAAGCACTAATTCAGTATCTATATTCGATCAATGAATCTGAAACAGAAAAGCAATTGCTGAGCAAATCTTATTCGTAACAAAGTGAAATGAATTTCCCATATCCGAACAGGAAACAAATATCACAGCAAGTGCAAAAAAATTATACGCCAAACTGACGTCTTCATTAAGTAATCAGTAACTGAATAATTAAATGCTATCAGTAAATAGTGGAATTATTTCAGTACTAAAATACTATTAGGTTCAAATTTGTATACAAAATTAAATTTGAACAATAAAAGAAAGTTTGCCTGATTATCGCATGACTGCTCAAAAATTCGAACGAAAAGACGACCTAGTCGTAACACGTCCTTACAATCAACTGGTTCTTTTTCTTTTTCCATATTCACAAAAGTACCCAACAGATGGTCAAAATCATTCCTGAAGAATATAGTCACAAACTTCCAATCACTTTCGTGCTACTGCATAAATGAATGTCTAAAAATTAAATCTTAAAAGTTTTTAACTAGTCAATGTATATTGCTACATTTGTATAAAAACGATTAAAAAGAACCCTTAATGTATTTTAAATAAATTAAGCTTACGGATTAAATAGCAAATAAGTGAAAAACCAATGATGCCTTGCGGCCACAACCTAATACCTGTCATAAAGTGATTAGTAATGGCACAACAAAGTAACTGTTTATCATAGACTAATAATGAAACTGTTACTACTAGACAGTACCTTACTGAAGTAGCAAATTTTTTCCTTGCCAATACACCTTTCCCTACAGCCTGCAACAAGATTATATTTTCTGTCTGGGCCTTCAACAGCCTTCGCTCCTGCCATTCATTTGTTACGTTTTCGATGAGACGCTTTCGTTTGTCAGCTTCCATTTCACTCATGCAATTAGCATTTTAGCCCTACAAATAAATCAATGTAAAGCACAAAAATCTTACTATATTTTTCATTTTTTCTATTGAAGCACCCGATATGACCCAAAATACGGCACTTTGTGTGGCTTTAGGTTTAAGGGACTGGTTCCTCTATAGTGTTTCAACAGGCCATTCGCAAATTCCTCCGTGGTCACTGATATAAAAAAGATTCTGGATTTAAAAGCTAAAGAAAGTCTTTACTTGAAGCCACAATGTTTTCACGCAAACCAAGTAGAAATCCAAATCCATGTTCATCGATCGACGCACCGTATGCTTTTAAAATGTACGAAATATGTGATAACATATGCCATGCTAAGGGCGAAAAAGTATTCGTAAAATATTTATTCTTTTAAGAATTAAACAAAACTCAAAAGGTGAAATTAAAATTAGATGCTATATATAGTAATTATAATTTTTGTGAAACGAAATGAGATTAGCCGCATAAATGCTCAAAAGGCATGAAAATGATTAGAAGACAACTGACTGAAAGCGGGAAAAAGGCTTTAAAGCTTGTCAACAACAAACAATGAACAATGATGCAACAAAAAGGCAACAGATTTGGAATTCAAATTGAAAATTAGAAATGGCAAGGAGAAGGGAATAAAGGCAAGAAGAAGCGAATAAAGAGATTTTTGCACAGTTACAAGAATTTCATTTTTCTTTTTTTTTTTTTTTTTTGTTAAAGTAACACGAAAGATGATGCCACATTAGTGGCACAGGAACGAAGAAGCAGCATATAAAATAGATGCAAAGCTAACAATATCATAAAGCAGAATTGTTCTAAATTACATCACAAATTACCAAGCAGTATCAAGTATAAGATGCTGCAATAACTTTGATCAGTTTGAAGGGAGATATCAACCTTATGCACTGTGAATTAAACAAAAAACAGTATTCCCCATTAAACCGATATTTTCGCCGATTGCACTGATTAAAATCACGAGTTATTCGCAACATTGAAATATATTTTCATTTAAGCTAAGAGAATCCAAACAGCTAAATTAGTGACTGAAATAAGCATTTTTTGGAACGAGGTAATGCACAAAAATGTCCCTATGGAGCTGGATCACTCAAGACATGCTGCATTAAAATTTTCGAATGCAATAAATATGCTTTTAACTATAGTTTCCACAGGTTTCAGTTATTTCCTCTTAACTAAACGTGTTACTTGCAAATAACAAGTCGAGAGAAATTCTGCAATTCAGCAACTCTGCTTGCGCAGGAACGGTGCAAGCAAAATTGATTCTGCCGGCTAGGTAATGTTAATCTGCAAGAAATTTAAACGGAAGTAGTAGCATGCATTGAAACCTTATTCACAAGAGGTATGGATTCAGTGGTACCGTCTTCGTGTTCCCGACGATTGCCACCTTTTTGATGAACCGGCTGTTTCACTTTATTCATTACGATTGGCTGCGCTTTTTCATCTGAAAAAAAAGGAAATTTTCAAAATACACTAAATAACAATGAATGTCCATAAGAGCTAATGCATGCCAATTTAAGTTTCGAAATGAAATGAGTAACTGCTCGATTAACAAAACGTTGCTCAAAAGACATCCAGGTCAATGTGCCTTGTTATACTAACTCCAGAGAACATTTAATTTTTCTCAAAGATCGATGTGACATGAATTTGTATATGCCTCAGGAAGATTTGAAGCAAAAAGCAATTCAAATGCAAAAGTACTCTCTGACATGAAAATATCGATGTATGACCTGGTAAACGTTCGGAAGATAAAATCGATTTTCGCATTTTTCTCCTTGCAGCAATCAAATCAATTTGTCGCTTAGTGCGCGGTATTCGAATTCGCATGAAACAGCAAACGATCACTACTGAAATTCAAAATGGTATGATATAAGGAATCTATAACACTAATCAACAAAAGTTTTAGTAACACTTCATCTAATACCTAAACGTATGCAGCATTTATCTCAGTGTGCTCCCGATGATGGCGTTTCACAAAACTGTATTAACATACTGTTTAAGTATCTACTAATAATATTATCTCTCATTTCGATCAATCCATCTTCAGCTAACATTTGGCTGATCACAAAAACACAAAATGCAAGAACTTGGGTGATCGTATGAATATAACCAATGATCGAAGATGAAAGAAATACACATGAGTAAATAAAAACATACCCATAATTAATAATATTCCCGACACCAAAGCGATAAGCATCCAAAGTCGCAAACCAGGGGCAACATAACGATCCAGTGCAGCCATACTTCCATCATGATTGTTATCCTCATTAATCGTCATCCCTGAACTTTCCACAACAATAAATTTAACGAAATTTAAAAATAAAAATAAATGGATTATATCTTACCCCGCAGCAGATGTATCTAACTATATGAATATATCAAAAGAAAAAAAAACAAGCGACCGTGATTAAAACATGCAACAGAATAGAGATACCCAGTCTATCTCAGTAACCAGTAGTCATAGTCAAGGATTTTCTTTCAGCTGCTACAAGCGAAGTCCCAAAGTAATTGGAGTATTTATCACTTCCTGAATCAAACATCTGACTATTCTCGAACCATCCCCACTAATATAAATGGTTACTCAGACTAAGTCTTACTGAAAAGTACAAACTGAAGACCAAGTCTACCAAAAATAATTTCGGTTTAAGCATTGTAAAAGAACCAAATGAAATAAACCACTCCATTTTAAAACTAAATCCAATGAAACATCCTTTGACCTCTCTCCACCAGTACCCAGAAATACTTACCTCTTCCTAGTGAATCTATTTGATCTTGCTGTACCGTATACTGCTCCACACCCCTATTATGTTTAAGTACATAAACTTTTCTTGAAATTGTGATCCATCGATCGCCGACACACTCTTTTGTTCCCTCTGCTCTTCTATCAGACCATCCACTCTGGTCCTATCAGCAACTCTTGAAGATTTCTAGAGATCCTGGAAACTTCAGCAATTTATCACACCCTAACTCTCACTCCTCCAATCTCTTTCTGACAAATTCGTCGGATTGAACGGAGAAATTTTCATTTAATGCGTGAAAATTTGATGCGTTAATAAAGGAGGTCATTTAGAGTTGGGGTGACACCTCGAGATTACAACTTTCCTGTCAATTCGCAGCAGTTGTCTTGTCTGGAATTTTTACTCTTAAGCTTTGGCTACGATATTTTCGTTACAATGGCTGGTAGAGGTGGTAAAGTCCAGAAAGTAATGGTTCAGCCCATTAATTTGATTTTCCGATATTTACAAAATCGATCACGGATACAGATTTGGCTCTATGAGGATATCACTCACAGGATCGAAGGATATATCATTGGTAATATATTTGTTGATTATCTGTTTTTCAGACATTCGAATTCTCCGAATTATTGCTTTCCGCTTCCCTTTCCATGATACTGAAGGGATCAGACACTGCTTTAGACTAATTCCTCCCTCAAAAATGCGATGTCAGTCATAAGATCATTACCTGCTTCCCAAGTAATAATCATGACTGACATTACGTGTTTAGATATAGTAGAGGAACCTGAAATTTCTTTGCAGCTTTGTAGTTATTGATACTGTGATGACAATTTCAAAAATGATTCTTACATTTCAAACTGCAAAATTTATGCATATTTTGCATGCAATGTATCACATCTATGACTAAGCAGATCAAACGCAGACTTCACGTGCAACAATATTTCTGTCGCGTACAAAGTCTAGCAAATCTACAGAGATCTAACCCATATGCTAAATCTGTGTTCAACTGCTGTCCTGTTTGAACTGCTTGTCTATATTTAACTGTTTATTTGCTGGCGTTAGTATTTGCTTCCGAAGATTCGAGATTCCTTTTTCAAATTAATTCTTTCTTATGAACAAGGAAAACATGTAGTCGTTATATGTTTTTGTTCAGGTTTTGATGAATACATGAACGTTGTGCTTGACGAAGCAGAAGAAGTAAATATGAAGACGAAAAATCGCAATAAGGTTGGTCGAATCATGTTGAAAGGTGATAATATTACATTGATCCAAAGCATTGGTTGAATGATTTCATTGTTGTTTTGTAATTCATAATTTTTATTTTGTTTCTTGATTACTTTGTCGTTTGTTTGCTAAACTGTTTGCATGTTATCTTGAACTTATACGAGACAATTTTATTATCAAATACTTCCAAAACTTTGATTGTTTCTAAACTAAGTGATTGACGTTTTTTCTCTCTTAAAATTTAAGAACATTGTGAAGAAAATGGATTTTTTCGGAATTCTGTTGGAATTTTGACGTATTTTCAAAAAGCCCTCAGATAGATTGGTTTTCATCAATGAGATCTCCTGGAAAATTGTTGTAATGCAGTTTGAATTATCACCACTGATAAAATTTAATGCAGTATAATAGAAAAGCTTCATTTCGCGATTCAGGCTTCGCAGACTAGAAATTTCTTATACCTGTTATAATAGACGAAATGCTCGATAGTAAAGCTCTGTCACAAAAAAATTATAAGGCGTTCACAGGTTAGCATATTAAGCTCCTGAAGCAAAAATTTATAACTTATTGTGTGTTTGATTTGTTCCTTCAGTATGTTCCTTCGATATCGAGAAATGTGCGGGTTTTTGGAGAATGTCCGTTCAGCTTCAGATCAACTGACAAAAAATATTAGTGATGTATTCAGGGAATTTAGACGGTTGCGATACCAACGTTTTTGTGATTCACTACACGATGTAGGATAGAATCTTCCCAAGAAGTAATTTTCTTGGGATAAGAATTCCTCGTGGAGCGAAAAATGGTAAAGGAATAGAATAAATAAGTTATTTCGTATCTGAGCATGGCGTTCCTATTGTACTCTCACTTTACTGGTGTCGAAACCAGATTTAATTCACAAAATACTTCTGCTAGTTGCAAATGGAATTCATTATCGTTCACAGTTGGCTGGTTCAATCGTCGTAGCAGAATTCAAATGGACTTACACATTGTTAAATTTCAGGAATTTTCTTTTGTGCTTTTGAATTCGAGTCTATCCAACTTTCCGCTGGTAATCAGGTTCTGTTTTAGATGGGTGATTCTATTTCAGATGTTACCTTTGATAATTATTTTTACCGTTTCGGCAATTGCCGCAGTACAGTGGCAAACAGGCTTGCAAAGACATGTGAAGTCATTCTTCGAAACTCCGGGGCACACCAATAACTGGGCAGTATTGGTCTGTACATCACGGTTTTGGTTTAATTACCGCCATGTTGCTAACGTTCTGTCATTGTATCATTCCGTAAAAAGGCTTGGAATTCCTGATAGGTTAGGACCTTCTGGTTACTTTCTAAACTTTACATGACACTTTACCAGAATCCAGGATGATGCAGCGGCGCAAACAGAATGGTTAAAAAGTTATCTATCGCGTCACACATCATTTTCTTTTTTCATATCGTTGACGAAACGTTGTACAGCTTGCAACTGTTTTGTACCTTATTGGGATTGAATTATGATAATAGAATAGAAAGTCCTCTTCGATTCCTTTAAAATCTATGTGGCATGTACTTGACTTGGATACAGCATTCAGAGTCCCACTCGTCATCTTGGATACAATTATAAACTAAAATGTCAAGTGAGATTTAGCACTTCTCTTGATGGAATTTCAGTCCTTTTAAACAAGGAGTTAGAAGAGAAGGGAAAACGCAAAGAATTAGAAATTTCAGTCTAAATACAAACATAACTCTTTCGAAATATAATTTTAAATGTTTCTCATTCCAGCAATATCATACTTATGTTAGCTGATGATATGCCGTGCAACGCCAGGAATCCGAAACCTGGTTAGCATTTTTAATTTACTGCTTCATTCATTTTTTAACTTTTAGGTAGTATAGTCAATTTTCCGAGATATCAGAATGAGATTTTAAGGTACGGTATACAACAGTAAATATGAACGTATCAATCTATACGGTGTCGAAGTTGAAGTCGATTATCGTGGATATGAGGTACCAACAGGGTTTCATCTGCAATTTTTACTTCAACTCAATTCGAATAAAATCTATGAATTATATGTCGTAAAATTCAATTTATTATTTCAGGTGTCAGTTGAAAATTTCATGCGTCTTATGACGGGAAGAGTCCATCCAGCTACACCACGCTCGAAACGTCTTCTTTCAGATCATCAAAGTAACGTTCTGATTTATCTTACTGGACATGGTGGTGATGGCTTCTTGAAGTTTCAGGATTCCGAAGAACTGACAAATGTTGATTTAGCCGACGGCATCGAAACCATGTATCAAGGCAATAGGTCCGCTTTGAAAGCACAACAGTTTTAGTAAAATTTTCTCAAAATATCTGCTGAAAAGTGCTGGGACAACTTCAAGAATGTCATAGTTCAAGAATAACTTCAAGAATGTTATAGTGATAGTTCGAGAACGTTCCTTAATTTGGCATTCTTGATAAAAAAAGTGTTAAATTTTAAATGAATCATTAATAGCTATCAACTAAACGTCAATAGCTATCTATTGGCCAACATCACTATTACAGATATAATGAAATGCTTGTGATCGCAGATACGTGTCAAAGTGAATCGATGTATCAAAAAATATACAGCCCAAATGTCCTTGCAACAAGTAGCTCCCTTGTAGGCGAAGATTCCCTTTCGTATGATGTTGATCAGTAAGTTTAAATCTGCATTCATTTCAGGTTATATTTTCCTAGTTTTTCTTTTTACTTAACTGCGAGATCTTAAAAATTAATAAGTAAATAAATTAATGAATACAAATAAATGAAAAATCATTCCGAGGACAGTTTATTCCTTACCGTTATTAATGTTTTAGATCTATTGGTGTATACATCATAGATCGATACACGCAATTCACTCTTGAATTTCTTGAAAATGAGGTCAAGTCATTATTGACAAATAAATCTATGACTGATTACTTCAATTCTTGTTCAAAATCGAAATGTCTTTCAACAGTTGGTGTACGTACGGATTTGTATCCGAAAGTATGTACTTTACTTGTGCCGTTTCATTAATTACTTTAATAAGTCATAATGCAAGAAATATTCTGGTCGCTAAGCTGTTGATGAGATTGGAACAAGTTTCCAACATTTTTACCCGGATTTCATAGCTCTATTAATTTCGATTGATTCACGAATGTTATGTGGAAATAAAATGTAATTCAGGATCCGAAGAGAGTTCGAGTAACCGACTTTTTTGGTTCATCAAGGATAATACGTACAATCACGGAACAAATTGAGTTTGATGATGCATGGCTAAACGTATCTCCATATTACGGCAAATCTGTAGACAGTGATGTTACTTGAAGGCAGTAGTTTTTCAGTTATTTGTTTATGTTTATTTGTAGTAACTTCATAATGGAATTGGTTTTAAACTTACGAATTCTTTACCTCCCAATTGCTTCTTAAATGCCTGTTTACGTTCACATAAACTTTTCGCGGGCTTCGGTTATCTTTGAACCTTGTGAAGGTAAACCAGCAGTAGAAATTTCGAGTAATATTAGGGAAAATTTCAAGTGCCTAAGGCTTCTTCGAAGTTCGTCAAAAGTTTTATTGCGGTCTACTAGTCGCATACATAGCTGGAAAAAGTAGCATAAGTTTAAGTAAATACTGGTTGATAAATTATCGGAACTTTGAATCTTACGCTAATAGTGGAACTTCCCTTTCTACAAATACACAATTATATAACACTTTCCTTTTTTTGCTTTCCGATGGTATTTTTAATGCTTCTTTAGGATTTTTGGTGAACTGCATGGACGGTTCATAGAATTGTTTGATACAGAAAGGCATTATTTCACTGTCCCACCTATAGGTCCACAAATCAATGGCCTGAAATAGGTTTTTATTTTTATTTATTTAATTTTTTATAGATTTTTACTTTAACTGAATGCCAAAATATTTATTTGAGCTGTAGCGTTTGTTTCGGAGTGCATTTAATACGGGTATTTTAAATATTCTTTAGAATGCTTGTTTTCTATAATATATTTTTCACATATGGACTTGATTCTTCCACTAATTGCGTAATGCATTATACAAACCTGTAGTATCAGTCGCCGAGTTACAGGTTTGAGATCACTTTCACAAAGATGTATCCGTAATGCCACAATAAAACTATCGCACTTGCCAGGTCTAATCCTCAGTACCGTATCGCCATGATCTATGATCAGTTCCGCAGCAGTCTGAAATTCAGCGAGATTCCGCCAGAAGCAAAGACTCAGTATTTTTTAATTCACAATAACTAGACATAATTATAAAATAGAGCAATATACTTCGATATCTCTTTCATCGGCATCATCATTAATTAGTTCTTCCAATGAAGTAAACATCGGTTCGACCAAACATTCACTCACTGTTGCATCGATTTCTCTATACACAGGATAGAAATTTAATATCGCTCGAACAATGTTCCTACAATTAATTCACTTATCGGTTCTGAGAAAAGAACAAAGAAAAATAGTCAATTAATTATTGAACAGTTAATGATAGCGGAATTACCTGAAAACAAGTTTATTTCCCTTCCTAATTTGATGCCTGGATCGGAAATCCGACAAAATATGTGCCAAACAACAGGAGAATAAGCCAAGATCCGTCTCATACATCTAAAAACATTTTTTATTCCAAATGGATAATGTGCTCTCAGTAGTGGAAATGGTCAACATCATGATCGTACTCTCTTCTAGTTATCAATTTTGTTTGCTTCAAAATAGTTGTTAAAATTTTATTTTGATTCTCAAATTAATTCCAGTGCAGATTTTAAGAGTGGAAAGTTTGTTACATGCTGACGCTGCAAAATGATATGTGCAGCAATTTTTGCAAAATTTTGCTCCGACAGCCAGCGCTGGTGCAAATGATAGGCCAACTTCTCACATGGCGCTGAATTGACCAATACACTGATCGTGTTCACTGCAAAAGTTTTTAAGACTACATTATTTTTCAGATAAAATTACTTTCCATCTAAATGTTTCAAGCTTAGCAAATTATTAAAATAAAACGAAATCAGCGATACGTATAGAAATCACAAAAATTTTCAACTATTGGCATCAAAGATTTCCAATTCTAACTCTTACCTATCATTCCGGAAATGTAATTGCAAATATCCATCTATCTACTCGTACCTTATTTTAAACCTTTACAAATTAGACTCTAATATTTCGATCCGGTCAGAAGTTTGGGACCATACTATCCATATACGAAACCCTATATCGACGAACAATTTGCTATTTACTCCACAGACATCTAATCTAACTCATAAATTATGTGCAATAATTATTCCAATTAATTAATAGGTTAAAAACGGTGATTCCAAAAGAAATCAATCATAATTAATAAATTATAATTAACGATTTCGAAATAGATAAGAATTACATGGAATTGATCCTTCTTTTGATAGGATGCATAGGGAAGCAATAAGTTGGCGCAGCTGTTCTTCCTCCATTCAATCCCTTCGAATACTTTTATTGAATACATTTTTCTTCAACCTCTCATTTCTCTTCTCTTTCTTTCTCATTTTCCTATCTTATTATTTATTTCTCCCTTTTGTATAATAATTGAATTGCAAACAATGAGTAAGGATTTATTATCAATAATATACCACACTGATCCAAATGGTACTCATCAATTTAATAAGCGTTTCAATACAAAAAAAAGTTTCAATTTTCTGAAAGCTTATCCATCTATTAAAAGTTAACTCTTTCCTTTGTTTTTAAAGAATTAAAAATTGTGCATATTTTAATTGAAAAATGCTATCATGGAAATTATTTTAGGAATGAAAATGATGAGAATGCTTGAATTTTCCCGATCTAACCATCTATCCATCTGTCCATCTTATCTATCCCTTCGTCTGTCTATTTGTCTATCCGTCTATCCATCAAAAGGACAGTCTAAGAGAACAAATGTTTATCAGATTTGATTAACTATGATTGTTTGGCACTTCAAGTTAGCGCATTTTCGTCAAGCTGGAAAACAAAAAAAAAAGAAAAATTATGGATAATAACAGGAATGAAAAATTGATAGTTGAAAAGAATTGCTTTTTCTCCTACCTTCTGATTTATCCCAAATTTCAACCTCGGTTGAAAATTAAAAAATGGTAACCAATCGATAATCATAAGAGTTGACTGATATGAAGGTTGTCGTTAAGATAGTTATTGAATTTGAACTCAGTTTCATTCTAATAGAGAAAGAAAATGCTTAATAAAAGCTTGCTTAAAAAATCTGTGGCTAAAAATTTGTTTCAATCTGTGGCTGTCATAATTATGGAGCCTCGTATAAAATATAGCTTTCCGCAGGACTTTTATGTTTCTTTTTCTGTTTTTTCAAAATTTCGAGCGAATTTATGGCCTCATTTATTATATTTGAATGGCCTTGCGTCCATCCACATCCATTTATGCCTTTGCAGATTCCTGCGATCTTTGAACTCTCTGCCCACGGATCACATTTGGATTGTCATTCGTCTCCGTGTATCCATTTGTGTCGCATTGATTACACTTGAACGGCCTCTCATCTCAAGGTATTCTCATATACTATCGCAGAATGTAGGTATACCTGAATTGATTACTGCATGTGTCACATTTTAATTGGTTTTTGTTTGTTCCGGTGTTATTAGTTGTACTGTTATTGTTTTTTTCCCCAAATTACTTGAAGGTTTCTGATGCTAAACTTTCTCACCTGATATTTTTCTACTTCAAATGATCGGTTATTATTAGCTGTCTTTGTTTGTTAATCCGTATGATAATTATTTTTCTTGGAATTTTTAATCATGGTAATCAGAGGGATCCTACAAAGATCATTGTAGAATCTTTGAATAGGAGCAACACTTCGTCACCGTTTGTTTTTAATGATGTGGACGCAACGGAAAGAGACAAACTGTTGTCACCAAAGTGATTCGGGAGTTTAATGTACAAACTTTTTGTTTTGCGTTGTGATTTTTGCTAAAGAGATATGGTCACAAAACATTGATTGCTTTGGAGGTAATAGAGAATGGAGAGATTTGCTAAATTATCAGAATGTGACGAGAGAGTAACTGCACTCCGAAAGCTTCATAAATGTCTGCTAAATTAGATTAGCAGGACTATACCTGTTGCGAAAAATTTGGTTTTCTTCTTTCATAATAAATAAAACTCGACTTCCTTGCTTCCTGTATTGAAAACGTGCTAAGAGAAATTGTTTTGTTAAGACTGAATTATCAATGAATGGGTGAGGATCTGTTGATCCTATTGATGTAGCTGAATACCAGGAATACAGATAGTATTTATTAACTAAATAGAAATTAACGCTGATGGGACACAATCATTACTTTAATTCTGATGAATAGATTGAAATGAATTATTGGAGAATAAAACAGAAATTGAGCAAAATATGGTTGGTTGGTGGTTTAAGTGAAGAAGTGGAGATTCCTTCTTTGCACGGATGGATGTATATCTTTCTTAAGTCTATAGTAAGCTCTCATCTCAAATCTTAGTTAATTTATATTGAGAACAAGTGGGTGCGGATTACAATATGAGAATAATATAAGGTCTTTACAAAGCCGATAGTAACTCCACAGTTGAAAGAGAAATTTACATACAAGATTAGATTTCTTTACATAAAGAGGAAATTTTATCAGA